GTATTTTACAGTCTTTATTTTACAGTTAATATATATGTTTATTAAATAAAGTCTAATGTTACAACTAATCATGGATCCCTTTAAGTTACAGTGAAAAACTTTGCTGTAACTTATTTTGTAAACACTAAACTAGACTGTGTTACATCACATGTATGTTCACATACTTAGCTATGCATTTTAGAGACAACCTCCAGAATTTGAGTGAAGAGGATGGAACAGCAGCCGTCAGTCCTGACCTTAACCTCCATCGACACATCAGTTTGGGTGTTCTCTTCATTTCAGAGTGATCAACACAGCCACGATGGCTGACTGGGGACAAATGCTGGTTGAAGAATACAGCAGTGTGTGACCAAGCTGGTGACAGCATAAGGAGGAGGAAGTGCTGGGCTGTTGTGGCTGCATATGGTTCTTCCACATGCTGTAGGCTCCTAAATACTGAAATTGTCAGTATTGTCTTGTATCTTCAGACACCAATCTTCTAATAAAATAAATGACACCGAACATGAGTCGGAATAACAGAAAAGGATGTTGAGCATTAGATAGCTGCAGCTCAACCTAACAAATAAACGGAAACAAATATACTTTTAAATAGCATAAACATAGGTGTCCAATTCAGGTCCTCGAGGGCCGTTATCCTGCATGTTTTACTTGTTTCACTGCTCCAACACCTGATTCAGTGATTACCTCTTCGGGTTCTGCAGAAGCCTGTTAATCACCCATTCATTCAAGTTAGGTGTGTTGCAGGAGAAACCTCTATGACACGCAGGATAGTGATCCTCAAGAACCAGGACTGGACACCCCTAAAAGGTTAGAAAAAAATAAAAATAAAATAAGAAAAACAATAAAAATAAGAATGAAACTCAATGTCCTTACTTTTTGTGATAAATTCAGCAATAAATTTTATTTCTTTCTTCTTTTTTGTATGTTTTGGTTAATAAAAACAGTTTGTTGTGTGTGTGTTCATGAGTGTGGTTTTGTAACTCAGGGGACCATTTTTCAGAYATACCACCTTTGAAAAACCAAATAAAAGACATCACATGCCTTCATGTGATATCTATAGACCTAATGCTCCAAGAGCAGAGTTCTCAAACTAGGGTCCCAGGGATCTGCAATGAGATGTATCTTGGGGRTCTCCAAAAATTGTCAATAAGCAAATTTGATTTTTATTTTTTTTAATGAATTTAGGGAACAATGCACAGACAGTACTAAACCAAACAAAAGATAATATTCCCATGGCATTTAGGAGTTAAAATGACAGTAAATTATTTTTAAAACAGCATGGGGTTTATAAGGTGGTCCCTGGAAATTTGTCACCCTTGTGAGGGGTCCCCAGACCCAAAACATTTGAGACCCTGTCCTAGAGGACCACAGCCCAACTCCCACAGGTAAGAATGCTGTTTTATTTTTTGGTAGGGGGTTAGATTTAGGACTATGGTGTGAATTGAGTTTAGATTAGGTTAGGTATATATACTGGGTGTGGTAAGGTTTGGGTATGGGTCAAAGTTAGGCTGTATAAATAAAAGAAAAATGAATGCACATCACTGCAAAGTCCCCATAAAGGTAGATAAACATACAGTTTGCGTGTGTGCGCCTTTAAAAACGCTTGAAGCCACGCCTCTTCTCCGCTTCCTAATTTTCCGCATCAGACGCGATCAATCCATGCACGATTTCCCGATCGTCCTCACTGTTCACCACACCGGATTGATTCGATAATCGACTTCTCTGGCCTGGCTTTACATTTCTATTGCTTGTTGTGTAGCTACTAATAACCTGAAATCATCATGCCCGGCGAAACAACCGTGTTATTAGTGTATTTATGATGAACAAAAGCACGTAGCTGTCTTTGTGAAGCTGTTGGCAGAGTGACGGAGTGTCTAACCCTGTCGTCCGGGGAGGGTTTATCGCAGCTGGAGTGATTGTGTTGCTGCTCCGAGGCCTCGTCGCAGAGAAAGTCTCGTACAACCGTCCCCGGGATTTCATGTTGAAGTCGTCTGGTTTGGAGGGTCCGAATTGAGTGTTTTCCCGTCGGAAGATGGACACTGACAAATTTAACTATGTCTACAGCTGTGACTTGGATATTAACGTTCAACTTAAGATGTAAGTTCGGTGCTTAAAGACGTCTGTTTCGGTGGTGAGGCGGCTGAACTACTTTTTGTGTCTGTGCGTCCTGTCAGGATGCTGCTGTTGTTTACAGTCTCTGTGTTATGAAACTGCAGAGTCACATTATTGTTCATTTTCTTTAAAGCTAACTCTGTTAGCTTATCAGAAAACTGCAGCATGTTTGAATTTTCTGCTAACTGTGTTTGTTACCTATTCATGGCGGCATCAAGTCATAAAAATAAGCTCGTAAAACAGAAAGTACTTTTGCTGAGCTAAGTTTACTTTTAGTACTGACTYATGGAGTATGTGCCTCCTGAGTGAGTAACAGTTATTACACACTGTGTTCTTTATTCATGTTCACAACTATTAGASTTTATTTATTGCATTCTAGATGTCTGGTTTTATAAGTATTAAGGTGCCAGATCATTTAATAATCAGTGGTAATAATAAACTGCATTAACTGAGTTGAATCAAGCGTAAATATAATTTAAGTCATTTTTTTATTATCAGATTTTAATGTAAACTACCTGTATTTTTTAGTAAAGGTCAACATCTGGAAGATGATATTAAAAATGCCAGATCAATGTGTATATTTAAGAGAATGAAAATGATTCATTTGCTGGAGAAATATGTAAATATATAAAT